CTCCTCTTCCGATAATAGTAATCACACATTTCAAACTTGTAATTTGATTTATGCATTAATTCATTAAAATTTATTTTAATTCTTGAAAATTAATATTAATTTTCAAATAAGTCCTTACTTAATATTATCATTGTCTTTATCACTGTCACTATTATCATTATTATTGTCATTAATTATTATCGGTTATGATGGTAGTAACAAGACAATGGTAACAATGACAGTTATGATAATAATAACAATTATAATAATAATTATGATTAAAGTAATTAAGATGGTGACAATGTGTGATGATTATATTTATAATTTTTTTAATTTGAGCTATTTTAATCTAATAGTTATTATCAATAGTTTTCATTTTTTATATTAAGAAATTGCTTATTTGGTTGTAAAAAAAAAAGTTTTTTTTTTAAACATTCTCAATGTAATAATATGATGAAAAAATACTTTAAAATATCAAACAGTTCATTATAATTCAATTTAATATAACTAATAATAGTATTTTTTAGGTTACCATAATATTGATATAAAGTATTTACCGCTAGAAATAATAACTTTGTCAAAAGCTATGACCATACATAAGGCGAGTATTCTCCTTTCAATATAGTTTATAATATAATGACTCAACAAGTCACTACATTACTATCGAACAACTATTATGTAGTAGAAGATTAAGCAACATGCATCAAAATTAGAATTTATAATACAACTAGTAACTGATATCAAATATATACATACTATATACATAATATAGTATCAATTCCAAAATAAACCTAAGTGTCGATTGGCATCTATACAATACACGATTATATCAAAGTAGCCATCATAAAAAATCTAGCCACCTCGAGCGTGACTAGCCTCCAACTGCCCAAACCATCCCATTAATCCTACCTTGCTCTCATATTGCATATAATCATCGCATATCCAACTACAAGAAAAACACATGATAAGCTTGTAAAAAAAAAATTCAACATAACAGCTTATGAAAACATCATTATATTAATATATTTCAACTTACAACAAGACAACATCATCATCATAGCAATTTAACATCTCATAGCATGTTCATCATATCAACATATATACATATGCATAATTTAATGCATCGTCATACATATCAACTACGGAGATTTCCTATATCTTATACATAATCTAGGTTATGAGTAGGGTAATTCCTCTCATGCACCTTCAACTACCTTGAAACATAAGCAACCACTCTCCTCTGATACATCAACACATAGCCTAACCCATGATGAGAAACATCATAAAACACATCAAAAGGTTCATTACAATTGAGTAACACCAAAATTGAAGAAGTGGTCAATCTCCTTTTCAGCTCCTAAAAACTTGCCTCATAGGCATCTGTCCACACAAACGGTTGATCATTATTTGTCAAATGGGTCAATGGCATTACTATGTTATAGAATCCTTCAATGAACCTCTGATAGTAACCCGTCAATCCCATAAAACTCTGAATTTCAAAAATAGTTTGAGGTTGCTCCCACTAATGCACCATCTCCATATTAGCTAGATCCACCACAACTCCCTCAAAAGAAATCACATGGCCTAGAAATCTCACCTCCTCTAGCCAAAACTCACACTTATAGAGTTTGGAAAACAATTACTTCTCTCTCAATATTTCCAACATCAACCTCAAATGTTCCTTATGCTCTTCCTTGGAACTAGAATAGATAAAAATGTCATCTATAAATACAACAACAAACTTATCTAAAAATGGTCTAAAAATCTTATTCTTATACTCCATGAAAATTGTAGAGGTATTCATCACTCCGAATGGCATCACCACGTACTCATAGTGCCTATACCTAATCCTAAAAGTGGTCTTAGGTATGTCACCATCTTTAACTCTAATTTGGTGGTAACTTGATCTCGAGTCAATCTTAGAGCAAATAAAAGTTTCTCTCAACTGATCCATTAAGTCATTTATCCTAGGAAGCGAATATTTTTTTTTCAATGGTAAACTTATTCAGTTGTCGATAGTCCACACACAACCTAGCACTACCATTCTTCTTCTTCACTAACAAAATCGATGCACCCCACGAAAATACATTAGGTTTGATCATTTGTTTCTCCAAAAGCTCATCCACCTGTCTTTTCAACTCAGCCAATTCCATTTGATCCATTCAGTGTGAAGCCATTGATACTAGCCATACACCTGGTACCATATCAATGTCAAACTCCACCTTCCTCTTAGGAGGTAATCTTAGAACTTCATAAAGAAAAACCTTTAGGAAATCTCTCACCACATTCACTATCTCCATCAATTGTTCACTCTCCAAGCTTAGAGAGAACAAGATGAAGAAACACTCAACACCTTCCTTCATCAACACTTCAGCTTGTCTAGCAGAAATCAAATCGTCTCACCTTTATCAGTGAAAATCAACTCCTTTTTAGCACAATCAATTAGGACCTAGTTAGTTGACAACTAGACCATCTCCAAAATCACATCCAACCCCACTAAATGAAAACAAATAAGTTTCACCTTATAACACCATTCAAACACCTCAATTGGACAACCAAGCAACACTCAAAAGAAATCATGAAAACAAAAGTAGGCGTAGACACTAGCAAATCAACATCTAATGATCTACCACTAGCTTCAACCTCCCAACATAATCAACAGAAATAAAGGAGTGCATAACACCTGAATCAAATAGGATCGAGACATCCTTATCGGCTGCCTTGCCCTTCCCCTTCACTAAATCTGATAAAGTGGAAGCCTCAACACTAGTTAAAGCAAAAACTCGACCTGTAGCAATAGGTCGCTTCGCCCTAGGTGCACCTCTAGTCTAACTAGTCTTCTCTTGTCAATCTCTAGCAATATGCCCAAACTTGTTGCATTGAAAACACTTGAGAGTGTTACTAATGCAATCTTTCACAATGTGCGGTCCCCCACATTTGTAGCACCTCGCACTCTATGCTTCACCTTTAGGAGCATTCATAGGCTTCCTTGTGATAGAATCCCTTTGCTAAAACATGGGTTTATCATAAGGCTTCCTCGAGCCACTACTCCTCTTAGACCCAACTGGCCCTTTAGTAGACTTCCCAACTTTATTTCCTCCTTCAAGTCTCTTTACCACCTTCGCCTTCTCAACCAAGGTTGAAAACTCTATGATGGCCATAGGCACCACCACTCGCTTCAGATCACACCTCAAACCCTCAACAAGCTTCCTGCACTTCCAAGCCTCAAATATAGCTTGGGTGTAGAAACAAGCTAGATGCTCAAACCTCATGGCATACTTAGACATTGATAAATTCCCTTACTCCAACCGCATAAGCTCAATCTCCTTAGCATGCCTTATGCTCTCATGAAAATATTTCTCGAGGAATACCCTCTTAAAGTAATACTAGTCAACTGTCACTCCCTTAACAACCAACATCTGTTGAGTACCACAACACCAATACTCTGCTTCCCCTACCAGCATATTAATCGCATAAGCAAGTCTCCTATCAACTAAACAACCCAACATTGTAAAAATCTTCTCTATCTCACAAATCTAGTGGTCAATCACCTTTGGTTCTACATTCCCCCTAATTTGAGGAGGATGACATTTGCGAAACTCAGCCAAGTCCTAGCTCTCCTACGACCCCATTGACCTTGCTACCTTAGCTACAGTTCTTTGTGCTTTCATCTAAGCAAAATATGTGTTCTGTTATCGCATAGTCATGGTCATCATCTCCATGAAATGGGCTATTTTCTCATTAGATCTAGACATATTCTACAGAAATTTGATTCAATTTGGTTCTCTAATTTTTAAATGATGTTTACTATTGTCC